CACCATATCCTGCGCACTGCGATGGCTAGTCTCCGTTGAAACTGGCCGTAGTGACCAAGATTCGGTCTGAAGGACTGAAAGCGCAACTCTTTCTGATACGAGTGCATATGCACTTAAAAGAAAGTGACCAGTAGCAGTAATATCTTCTGATTTTAATTTTTTCGTTATTCATTTTTTCATTTTCTTATTTATTTGTTCACAAGTCTAGCTGGCCGTAGTGATCAGAGGCTAAACGTTCGCTGTAAATTTCACAATAAGGGTGTAGCCCGAGTTCCATTGTCGCCGGTGTCAATGAAATTTTGTTAAATGCAGTTTTAAGAGCTGGTATACCACGTACTTGGCTATGAAGAAAAATATCGTGAGAAAACCTGCATGTCTAAGAAATTTAAAAAAATATTGCAAAGATATTATATGAACTCCACCAACATGCGTCACTCTCAGTGCCTTGTCCATTAAACTCTCTCAGAAATTAGAGGAGGGTATGCCTGGATCGGCACGTATCCAGGCTGTAATATTTTCTTTAATTTTACTCTAATAAATTTGTATTTATTAGAGTAAAATTATTGTAGCGTTGACAGATATTCTGAGGTCCAACGTCTATTTAGGCCTAGGCTAGGCCCTTCATACCACGTCGACTGTTTGACATCTTCTGGATCCTGTAACGCTTTTGAAACAAAAAAGCATGTGTCGTCACGCTTTCGTGATGTTATTTTTTATAAAACTGAAATGACCATCAAACTTACACTCCACCTGGAGATAAGTGACTGCAGTCCATGGACATCTGCAGCCGACTTCAAACAAAGATGGCTGCAGATGTGTTGTCACCTCCGAGGACTAAGGTGGAAAGTCTTTTAACCTGTTATTGCACTGGTTCTCTATGAACCTTCAGACTGGAACACAGCAATGTATGCACTGCTATTTGGCGGCCAGAAATAGTTAAGAGATTGGTCCTTACCCAGGCGGACTCCTTAACAAAAAAGGAGTCGTTCCACCCAGAAACTGTTGTAATAGATTGTCACAAGGCATGAACGAACTGTACTATCATAATATTGAGCTCACATGCGTTTTTTTATAGAATAAGTGTGACAAACGAGCATACAGTCCACCTGATGGTAAGTGGATGCTGTGGCCCATAGACATCTACATTTATCCTCGATTAGGAATCAAAACGCAGGAACGTTGTCACCCCTGAAGGCTAAGATGGAATGCCTCGTTTCCAGTAGAAAAGGGTCTCTGGATCTCTACACTCACCATACGATACACTAAGCCGCTATTTTACACTGGTATTCTGTCGGAGCGTGGTCCTTCCCCGGTCGAGCCGACCCATTCGTGCTACAACCAAAATATAGCTACAGCGTGGCTCTATCACGTATAATTACATACTTACCTTTTGCCGATACACTTGACTTTTGCTACGAACATACAGCCCACCTGATAATAAATGATTACTGTGACCCCTAGACACATATCTAATTATCTAGTTAGGTGTCTGTGAGCCACAGTATGAAATGCCTCGTAGCCAGTAAATAACTTCAAGCAAGCTTTTTCCAATCAGTTACAGATATAGTTGTCAAATGGACACAGATATTTTTATAGATTAAGGGTAACAAACGAGTTCACAGTCTACTTAGTGTGGACTAAGATGATGATGATGATGACTGAGGACTAAGATGGCATGCCTCGTTATCAATAAAAAGATTATCCGGTTCTCTACACTCACCATAGGGATGACATGATTTTCGTCTTATCCGTGGCCATGTAAAAGCCTGTTAAAGATTTTGGTAGGCATTCTATTAAGTTCAAGACTAATTTGCTAAAATCTTCTAACGATTCTGCCACAATTACTATGTTTTCTGTCCAATAAATTAAAAGAAAATACTGATTTATTTAAATTTATCGTTAAAATACCAGTAATTTATAACTCAAGTTTACAATGCAATAAAACTCTATCAAATAAATCCTTGACATTCTTAAGAAATCTCCGAACAAAAGCCTCGGTGACAACAGAAGCAGCTGGAAAAATTTGATAAATAATTCATAAAGCCCTTATCTGTCTTCACTGCGTGCTTCTTTTCGCGGCTTAGAAGTCGAATTATTTATTCAGGCCTCATAAATGTCTTTTACGAGGCTGCGGAAATCTATAGGACTTTAATACTCTTTTTAATTACTTTCTTATTTTTTTTAATTTCTTATAGCAACACAGAAGCATTGATGCTTTCGACTAGTTAAATATCAGGTTTTAAAATACACCAATTTAAAGTAAATGGTGTTCAAAGTGACAGTTTTATGATAAGTTTAAAGACCAAAATTACATGAACGTGTGTTGTGCCCCACAATCTGTGGTCTTCCCCATCAAATAGAAACACAATATAGTGAGTGCACTAATGTTAAATGGCAAAAATAGGTAGTAATTAATAGAATCAGGCGTTACTTTGCAAAAATCATTACATATAAGTTTGTAAGAATTACTTCGCCCATATCTGCTCAATGACATAAAATGATGTGTCTTACCTAATTTGAAGAGCACCTCCCGCTCTCCATCAATTGCATGTACTATTCTCGTCACCAGTAATCCCAGCATCACTACTCCTAACACCACTACACTAGGAAAGACACACCACCAGAGGTAATTTCTCGTATAAAGTGCTCTTCAAACTAGGTATACACAACATTTTATTTCATTAAGTGGATATAGTCGAAGTAATTATTAACAACTTTAAAAAATTTATTTCAAATTAAATACACCACTGACACAGCCACGGCACTGTCAGCTCACTATGCCTATGCTTATTCGTGGCTTAAGTTATGTTCTGGGGAAGTAGCGTCGAAGTGCAGCAGCTATTTATTACCCAGAAGAATTGCATTAGAATACCAGCCCAGATAGATAATAATACTAGCTGTAGACCGTATTTCAAAAAATTAAATATTCTTACCTTACCCTGTATGTACATTTATGATCTATGCTTGTTTGTCCACAAAAATAATAATATTTTCAAGAAGAGGCCCCTACTATATGGCATATATACATAAAAGTTTATAATAAATTACCACAGGAAATAAAAAACATATCAGAATTAAAATCAAATTTCAATCAAGCCTCAGTAAACATTTAAAACAAAACCATTATTAAAAAAATTATTATTCAATTGAGGAGTATTTAGATAAAAAATAATACTATTATGTATTTTAAATTTATGTAGCTTCTAAGTATATTTTATGTACATAAGCAGTGTCCTCGTCAAATTTGCAGTGCCTGAAAAAGGCGTCTAAGTTGTAAGCACATTATTAATGTAGGATCAATTATGTACAATTGGATTGCAAATAAATGATTTGATTTGAAAAAATAGGTGGGGTAGCGCTAACCCAAACGGGCTCTTAGGCAGTATAAGAGTTCAACCACATATATCCTGTAAACTATACCTATGTCCCGTATACTGGCTTACTCACGCGTGCTTACGTTAAAAGTAATTACTTTATAATCGTAATGATTTCTTATATTTACGCAAACACTACAGATTTAAATAAAACTAGTTTTTAGGGATTGCACTGCGCATACTAACTTATTTTATATTCACAACGTTTCGAGCACTTTACAACAACCATAGTCACGGGGGGGGGGGGGTTGGTGACTCAAGTGGGCTTTTAATTTAAATAGTTTGAAATCCTTACGCAATACGCTAACGGTTACATAGATAAAATGTATATGGTTTTTAGATTGTAAGTAAATAACAAGCAGTTACTAACATTAATTACGACAGTATACCTGACAATAACGCATAGTACTTTTTTATAAAATAAGGTTGACAAACAAGCACACAGTCTTATGGTAAGTGGATGTTGTGATCTATAGACATCTACATCTACCCTCGATTTAGAATCACAATGCAGATGTGTTGTTACCCAGATGATTAAGATGCTTCGTTTAGTGAAAAAAGTCTTCTGTTCTCTACTTGCACCATACGAAACATAGCATTAAGCTGCTATTTTATGCTAGTATTATATTTTATGCCGTCCCATTCGTACTATAACCATAATATAGCTGCAGCGTGCTACGTGCGTGCAGCTCTATCACGTATGATTACGTATAAAATGAAATTTTGTAACCTCAATGTTTACCTGCAGTTCCAAAAAAATCCACCAGTAATATACAGTATTATACGTAGTTATTTGATATCACGTCTATTCAGCAATACAGTGGCTGCTTAAAATCAACCACTCAATGTTGAGAAATTTTAGTGAATAGAAATGTTGAGGAACAATATTGTCGTTTCTTCGAGCTAAGTGTAAGTTCATTCACATCTACTCTGGTTCTACTGAGGATATCCTCAACTTCGACAACCGATGGTAAAAATAAGATCTCGAGTGATAGCCTCGCACCCGTAAGCGCAGTGTAAAGTGGCCCGCCTTTAAATTCAGTGAAGACCTGGTAAGACATGCTAAAGTGGAGGGATGCAGGTAGCTCAGGTCCGTGTTTGTGGTATTCCTTAGGAAAGACCTATGTTAAGCAGTAGACTTGTGAAGGACTGTAATGACGATGATGAACATTATCATTGTAACTATTTACAGAACATGTACAGCATACATTATATTTGAACAAGACACAGTTATTTACTTAATGGATGACGTGTATCTTTAATAAATAACATTTTAATTTCGCATTGTTACCAGAATAATGAAATACTTTCGTTAATGATCGCTTTCAACAAATTATACAAAGGGACAAATTAATTTATCTCTTTGTTCTACACCATTATCGGCAATTTTATAAATACGTCTCGTAATTAATAGCTACAAAGTATTTAATGTTTTATCACGTTGGAATAAAGGTGAATATATTGTAATACGCAAATGACTAGCAGCATTGACATATTTTCTTTTTGTTTGCTAATATTACGTTTACACAGATGCATTTTGTTAAAATTATGATATATATATAGCGGGTAAGAACGAACTGGATCGTGTATACTATATACCGTTTTGGTCACTTGAAGATCTCCAAAATGCTTCCCATTGTACTGATATTGTTCCTGGCATCGGTAAGTTCCTTTTTATTTTATTTTTTTGTAACCACACATCAAAATCATATGTGGAATAAGAGCGTTTTGATCAGTTTTTCGTTTGTATTTTCTAATTTTTACAAAACTAATGGTAAAGTGTCTTTTAAGTGTCGTTTGTAATTGCAGTATATTTATTATTTCACTAGCTTGGCAGGCAGACGTTGTTCTGCCCTTTTCGACGACCCTTTGTCATGTCCTATTAAAAATCTTTAATATCGCAAAAAAAATTGTGGGTCACTCATGGGCAAAAAATATCCTATTTCTTAAGTTGGCCACACTGCACACGGTGTGCAAATTTGATTAAAATCGGTTGAGTACTTTAGGACTCCTGTCCATCGCGGACAAACAACGTAACACGTACTTTATATATATTAAGATTATAGCGTGTCACAATTTACATAGGTCTCTTTATAGATTGCCTTATTTGCTATAGCTGGAATGGCAACGGCAGATTCTTATTTACTAGTTGTTATTAGGAAGTCGCTCCTCGATCTCCAGGTTCGTTACCCCATGTCTTCTGTTGTAACACGTACCGTATATTATCAATATTTCTACACGTACTTGTAACATTCCAAACGTTAACATTCGTATTATATTAACGACAACGTTTATTAAGTTATAGGGTATCGGATATTCTTACAACGCCCCTACACTACCTATTTGGATATATTATAACTTAACAACTTCGAAATCTTTTGGTATGAATACTTACTGACCATCATAAATTTCATCATATTTGATCTCCATCGGCACCAGTAAAATTATTAAATGCAAGTTTAACTGTTAAGTTACCACGTACTCGATGTTAAAGAAAACTATAGTGATCAAGTCATATTTGAGGAAAAAAAATTGACGTCATATAAAGTCCACCTACAAAACCTTCTCAGAAATTAAAAGCGCATGTGTCGAACGTAATAGCGGATTTAATTTTTCTGCATTTTCAACAATATATAGTAACACGTAATTAAGATATAATACAATTCGAAAGAAAAGTTAATCTCTCTCGATATTAATAAATTTTTGCATTAGCGTTAGCGTGCTAAAATAACCTAAAATTCTTACAAATTTCTTGTGTCGTTTACTCATCTGACATGATTTTCGTCATAATAATGATTCGTTTAAAACAAACTGATATGCACATTATAAAACGTATCGTGATTTAATAGAATTCATCAAAGCAATTCCTGAAAAAGAGAAAAAGTAAAACCCGAAATGTTCTTTCTCACGCGACATGACTATTCATTCATACAGACGGTTCGTGTGTCGCTTAGGAGAGTTCATGAGCCATAGAAAATAAACTTCTTAGTAAATAATTAAATTATCCGGAATAAGGCTATGTGTGAAAGAGCTTTTATAAATAACGCGAGTACTTCACATTCAATACAATTAGCTTTACAGATTCTGCCCAATTTCATATTAATAAATTAGTGGATTCGACTTTTCAAGCGGTCTGCAACAACTGTAGTCACGGGTAGACTGAGGTGTTCAACTTTCTTATGTCATAGTTAATTTGGACTTCCTTTACCTTTAAATTCAATTTCAAATTTCTTTATTTGCCATAAATAGGCCTGGTCATATAGCTCGAAAAATTAACAACCAATAAACTAGACGGACAAACTGGCTCTCAAGTATCAGGCTAACCTAACCTAGTAACCCTTTGCAATGCCATATTTTCTTCTGGTGTTGGAGCTACCAATAGCCTACAGCTTCTTCTCTCTTCTTTCGTTTTCACACCTACATAACCGACTAATAAATCTAAGTTTCCCTTAAACTAGTCATTAAAATAAATGGTCATGTTTATTTTAAATTAATACATAATTAACTCTCTAATGAAGTTTGGACTTATTTTATTTCTATTTACAACAAAGAAGGTTTTATGATTGGACTAGTAAATCACATTCGTTGTTTAGAAAAACATATTATCTCAGTTAATCTGTATTATCGAACATTTTAAGTATTACGTTTTTACAATATAAATAATTCATAAAAAATAATTATAAATAATTAAGCCGGGTTTTCACTATACGAGTACTCTCGGACCGAGTGCGCTCATACGAGCTAGATCGTATAGAAGTCTACTCTGATCTTGGTTGACACGTTACGAGTTCATCAGAGCCAAAGTAGCATTTAATTTTGTCTATTTGCAAGCGATGACGACTGATCAACTGCTGCGAGGTATGTTGAGGTTATGAATGATGCGTTGTATTGCAACATTTCTTGCATCTTTGTTTTTATATTTAGTTAATTTTACGTTCCACAACACTTCTTCCGCTTCGAATAGTTCCACAAACCTCAGATTAATCTTTTCACTTTTTTTTAGTTGGCGCCATTTTGTCACCATAAAATTATCCGAGTGTACTCGTAAAAATAGAACCTCATCCGACTCCACTCTGATCGGATGACGCTGTCCTCGTACGCTCGGATTACGTGTTCACACACTACGAGTAACGTCCGAGTAGGCATCCGAGAGCACTCGGTCCCAGAGTACTCGTATAGTGAAAACCCGGCTTTAGATACAACATGCAAACTTTTTTTTTAAATGTAATTTCTATAATTCGTAATATCATAATTTAAGTTTCAACTATGAATTAAAATTCAGATAAAAATAGTGATACGCGACACAGCAATTACATCCAACATATGTCAACATGCATATTATTATTATTATTTTGAAATTCCTTACACTATAATAAAACAATATTAGCTATTTACGTAAATTTTTAGTCATCAATTACATCGAATTGTATCTGTCATTTATATAACGAAATCAACTCGCCTAAGCAAGACGATTTTTAAAACTTTAAATTTTAATTAATGTTATAAAACATATAATTAATTTACTTTAAGATCGATGTGATCAATCTTTAATCCATTCAAATACAAATAGGAATATTTTATTATAACAGTTGTATGATACAATTGATTGATTAAACTACCTTGCAACAAGTTTCCTTCCATACTTTGAATGATCACTTTCGATATTTGTTAGCTATAATCTTATCATTTACAAATAATAATGAAAGACGGTCTACTTTCTAATATTTTCTGTCAGTTTACCGTCCCTCCTCTTCTCATTTTGTTATTGTGAATGATCGAGGTGCGGAATTTTAGATTTTTCCGACATTTATTTATATTTTCGCACGTAACGTTCCAAACGTTAACTTCCGTATTATATTTACGACAACGGTGAAATCTCTTTACACCTAAATTTCCCTCGCTTTATCAAGCCATCAATAGACATTTACGACGAATATTCCGATTTACATAGGAATACTTTCGGAATACGAATGCCACCGCGATAAGGCTCAACGAATATATTGAAAACGAGATTTGCTTGTGACAGGTCGCTTCAAATGAGACGCTCTATGCATTACAGATAAAAATATTTTTTTCTGAATATTTGAAAATGGAAATGACATTCTATTATATCTATTTTTATATTATCTATTATTAATATTATATTGAACTTTCTATTCTCTCGGCTCTAGCGCTACTTTTCCAGCCGGATAAGTTTTGCACATTTTACACAGATTTCAATATTTTTAAACTTTTCTATTAAGGATATCGGACTGCATTCTAAAGAATATTTTAAAAACTTTTTGAAGATATACAAAACAAACTTAGACTTACCTCATTATCATTTATAATTTACCAGATTACACTCATATACTTTTGAAAACACGATAGGGTAATCGTATCATATTTCAATTTCAAAATTAATATTTTAAAAAGTTTTTAGGTAATTTGAAAATTATTTTGGAAATATTTTATACAAATTTTAATACAAAATAATGAATAATACGTTTTAGACATGGTCCCTGCAAGAGCTTTTAATTAGCATCTCACTCAATAATCTCGAAAAAACATATCCACCAACTTTACTTTTTATGTTAAGTACATGCAATTAGAATTAAAAAAAAAATTATAAATCTACATGAAGTCAGTAGTCACATCGAAAAAACTTTTTAAGTCCCACAAGTGACGTAGGCATTTGTAAGAATGCTCTTATTTTTATTTTTATTTATTTATTTAATCCTTATTATACATCTTATTCTAAGGGATATAAAGGGCGGACTTAATGCCTTATAGCATTCTCTGCCGGTCAACCCTGGATGATTTGAGAAACTGTGGCTTGTGTAAACCACCACTACATATATAAGTATACTTATACTTTGCCAATGCTCACTATACTGGGCAGACGGGGCTATATAATTAAACTGCGTTCATTTAATATAAACCTAAAATAGCTTATGATGGAAATACCTAAAGCTCTTCAGGTCGTAGAGACTTAAGATTTGAGGCGCGTTCATGTATATTTGCACATCAATCCACTTTGCCATGAATATGTAATACGATACATATTCATAGAATCACAACTCCGAGATACTATCTGGGAAATACGAGCATTGCGGCCGAAACTTACCGGTGTATAGAAGAAATAATATCAGCATGCGGAATACATATTACAAATAGATTTTTATATTTTTTGCTTTAGAAAAGAATTTAAACAAGTTTTTTTTAATTTAGGTTGTTTTTTTCGGCCGAATTTGAGCTATTCAAAATTTCAAGTTTCCCGCTCATCGAAAAGGTAGTTTAAAATCATTTACTACCACCCGAAACGACAAACTAACAAGAATGTGACTTTAAAAAAACGTGTTCAAATCATATTAAATTACGTGATTCTAAGTACATGTTGCCGGTGATGACTTATGGAACTGAAACATGGTGATTCACTGCTGGTCTTGTGAGGAAGCTCAAAGTCACTCAGTGTGCGATGAAAAAGGCTATAATCGAAATATCTCACGGAATACCAGCGTAAAATAGTAGCTGCTGCTGTGTTTTGTATGGTGACTGTAGAAAACCGGAGACCCTTTTTACTGGAAACGAGGCATTCCATCTTAGTCACCGCGGGTAACAACACATCTACATTTTGATTCGTAATCCAGGATAGATGTAGATGTCTATGGGCCGCAGCAACCACTTACCATTAGATGGACTGTGTGCTCGTTTGTCACCCTATCCTATAAAAAAATATCTGTGGGATTAAATTCGTTGCGAAGATATCCGCAAAACTACAATAGTAACTGACATAACACGACGGAACAATACACTGACGTGGCAATGGGCCGGTAATATAGCCCGAAAAACGAACAACCGATGGGGAAGAAAGGTTCTCGAGTGGCAGTATCGTGCTGGAAAGCGCAGTGTTGCATGCAGCGAACCCCCACTAGATAGACGACCTGACACGCATGTAGGCGATGGATGCATGCGATGCTCAGGACCATACTTTGTGACAATCTATACGAGAGACCTATGTTCATCCGAGGATTTGGGATAGGCTTTAATAATAGTGATGATACGACAAGTGGAAAAATTAAAAAATTTGTGATTTCGTATGTATATCGATGATGCATGATAGAGTAATCTATATACGTAAGTTCATAATTAGGGGCGATTTTACACCATCAGTCTCCCACATATTCAATTGTTTATGTAAATTACGTTAGAATTTTTCAATCCAGGTAAGGGTAGTCACCTCATGTAAATTTTTTCATCAGCGTTCCTAGTTTAGTTTAGTAGTTTTCTTGCGATTCTTTTGGACAGGAGGGCACAGAGATTTTAAGTGTTTTATTATCATTTATAAGTGTCAGTCATTTTTCATTTTAAAGTAAAGTATCCACTATATTTACCACTCTTAAGCAACTTTGACTAAACAGGCCTATTCCATTAATCATTAGCCGTATCTCGCAGTGTTAGGACCACCTTGGAGCTACTCAAAGAATACCGTGTTTCATATGGTGAGTGAAAAATAAACGGAGACATTTTTTGGAAACAATGCATTTCATCTTAGTCCTAAGGAGTAACAACGCATCTGCATTTTGAATCTTATTTAGGGATAGAAATGCCTATGGGCGACAACATCCACTTACCGTCAGGTGAATGTTTGCTCATTTGTCACCCTTATTTTATTTAAAAAAAATTAACCATTATTTTAATACATTTGAAGACACAGAAATTAATAAAAAACAATGACGCTGTAAACTACAACGTTATGATAAACAAATCAAAAACGATAAATGGCTTCCACTAGGAAATATTATCAAGCATTGGCAGTTAGTTAAATCCCACATTGTGAAATATGAAAGCAGCTTCCCCTCGACAGCGCCAATCCCGGGGGATAGTGTTGTTACGAACAACTGAATAGCTGTCACCACTTAATCCCACGCTCCAGTTTCGTTGTTTTAGTTTATGGAAAATATATATTTGACTGAACACACATAAAATATGATTACATTTTGTTTAAACAAAAACTGATTGAAATCTTGGACTATCTGTTAGAGTAAAATTGACTAAAATGCTAACAGGTTTCGTCTTATCGTTCTTTTTTCTTATCAAATTGAAGTGACAAACAAATTTATAGTCCATTTGATGTATAACACTTTTTATGGCGTTACTCACCGGCTACGGTCATCGGAGAGTTAAGAGACTCGAGTATCAAAATAAAAGTATCCCAGGGCACCTGTGGTTGGATGGTTAGTAAATGAAAATTCAAAGATACATATACAGACAAAAGGTAGTTTATTTCCTTCTAAAGTTCATATGGATAGCTCTAAATATCAAATTGTCACTTTAAAATACACTGGGGACTGAGGTTTTGACTAACCTTGTGGATTACACTGTTTATGGTCAATCCCGCGAAGCAGTGAGGTAACAGATGTCCTCCAGGTGTATTCCGGTCGCGGTCTCCATGCCGCCCAGTCCCAATATAGCCACCAGTTGAAGCTGTCTCGCCTCGTTCACATAGTTAAACTTGTTAATGGACCATATTCAAAGTGAGGATTAAGGACCCCTATGACAAGACAAAATAATCTATGAAATACCATGTACCGTTAATTAGAGCACATGTGCTTTTAAGAAGACAAAAACATTAAGTACTTACAATTTATGGGATGATGTGTTTGAACACATTAAACTGCCTGTAGACATTGTGTTTAAGGGGCCGTACGCCCAGGTACTCGTCACTTTAAATTCATGTTCCGGCGTTTCGATTCAAAAATTATATATGTGCGTGTCCGATCATTACAACGGCTCGCTCCAAAAAAGGACTCGGCCTCCCTTGGGCTACGCGCCACCATCGATCCGTGGTAGGATTTCGAACTAACACGAAAGGTCAATTGCATGCAATTAGCTAACTCGATTCGTCAATATACGTTTCTAGTTACTTCGGACTAATGACGTTAGATGGCGCACTGATGTCCGTTCATCGAATGTAATAACATAAATATGCTAAAATAATTTACACGGAAATTTTCGTGTTACAGATGGTAAGTGGCTTCCGAAGCCCATGGAAATGGAACCAACTTCAAACAAAAAATGGTGACATGAGCGTGTCACCTCAGGGGACTAAAATAGAATTCCTCGCAGGCTTTAATTATGCCAATGTCAAGCTACTCCTGTTACGATTTTAACGATGGGGCCAACTCAACCGGGGAAGGGCCAAGCTGTTACATAATATTAGCACAATATAGCAGCTTAATACTGCTGTGTTTCGTATGGTTACTGAAAACGAGGCATTCCATCTTCGTTTTTATGAGTGACAACGCATCTATATTTTGAACCTTAATCCAGTATCCACTAATCGTAAGGTCAACTGCGTGCTCGTTTGTCACCCTTATTCTTAAAAAAAAACAGTAGTTCTAATACTGTCCTTCTGTCGTGAACTCCTTCTAGCTCATGCATTTTAAATTTGGTTAGAGTGTTTTGGAGTATTTGGAGCTAACGGCTTATGATGCCTTTTATAAAAAAGTAATAGTAAGAATACCTAATATAGTTTTAGAACTATTTTAAAGTAAAATGTCATTTTTTTCAACAGAGCGCTTTTGCCAATATTTCGTTGGCCAAAGTCGACGTCTACAATGTTGACGAAATTCCGCCAGTTCCTGACAATGGCTTGGCCAAGTAAGATTAAATGAATATATATATTTATAATAAATAATGGGAATGAGGTGTTTGCTTTCAAGCTATTTCTTAAATAAGTTTTTTATGTAGTTTGTACAGGCTGTGTTTTAATATATAATTTTACTTTGAAAATAAAGTCCCGCTGAGTTTCTTGCTGGTTCTTTCGAACCAGTGGTAAAAGCAAAACATGACTTTTAATGAGAACTACTTGTCTTATCCTTCATTCCTTTACAGCCTATGAAAGTCCACAGCTGAACATAAGCCATAGATTGCCTCGTAGTAGACAAGCGTGGCGAGCAGGTTGTCAACCGTAGTTTTTTTATTATTTTGAGTTCTTATCATAAAAATGCTATTGCCCATCCTTGGTTTGTTCGTCTGACGCCTCTACGACAACCACGGTATATTATAGGGCAGTAGATATTCTTACACCGCCACTGCATGGTTGTAATTCCATATTTAATTAAAAAAAGATTAGTCTGTACCATGATCATAACAGCTTTTCAAAAATCCACTGCTGAACATAGCCTCCCCCCCCCCCCAAGATTGCCTCATAGGGGATTTTTAAAATGCGGGTTGGGAACCGCTGATTTTTGAAATAATACTAGTTTTTACGGAATTTATCGCGCATATTTAACTTTTTTAAATACCCGACGTTTCGAGCGCTTTACAGCACCCATGGTCACGGGGGGGACTGAGATATTCAACGTCCAGATGTCATGGTTAACCGCGATTACCATAGATTAAAATTTAACTTTTGTTCCGATCTATACAGTATGAACTTATGGTATATTCAAGTCTTGCAGTTGTAAGATAAATTCCGTAAAAACTAGTATTATTTCAATGTGTAGTGTTCGCTGATTTTTATTGTTTTTAGTTGTTATCAGGAAGATGTTGCTGTCCCTCTCTTATATGTATTGTAGGGGATGGGGAGTGGGGGGGTTACTGCGATCATCTACCTATTAAGCGTAACGGTGAATGCAAATCTGAAAATTGTCTTTTACCTGCTTATGATGATGAAGCAGTATCACTTGAGCTTTTATAAATTTTACTAAATTTATTATCCTATCCGGCCTGGGCTGGCTGGCTGTACTAGGCCGGCCATATAACTCGACAACTGATGGGGAAGAATATTCTCGTGTGGCACCGAAAGCGAAGTATAGCAGCCTCCTACCAGATGAAGTGAATTTGTGGCATTCCTTGCGAGGCTTAATTTAAAGGACATGTGAAGGCCGGTAATGATAATGATGATGTGATGATTATGATTTATATTACTGAATATTTAGACGAAGACATTAATTATGATGATAATGAAGATTGTGATGGTAAAGTTGATGAAACTCTCAATTTTAATGGTAAATGTCGATCATTGCCATTTAAAAAGTTAATTAATGAAAATTATACAGAAATATATTTAATAAATAAAAATATAGTTGCGTGAAGGCATTCGTAAAATGAGGTTATCATTTTTCTAGTCTCTTAATGCGCTATAAAGTATGAATTGTTACATGGAATCTCGGTGGTCCAGACGAATTCGCAGGTTGAAAAGAAATCGAAATTTACTAAATATAAGTTCCAGTACACGCTAGCTTCTTTTTCATTTACATTTGATGAATATTAGTTTTTTAATATAATATAAAAATGTGTTAATAATAATAAAGTAAATGTTAAAAGCTTAAGTACAAAAACTATGTCCCACAAACGCCTACAAATTTAGCCTAGTCAAAATATAAATTGCCATATATAAATACAGTAAAAAAATCAAATTATCAAATTTTATTTCATTTAATGACAGCTAAATAATCAAGCAATTAGGTCATAAGTATTTACAATACACTCTGTTTTAAAAATTGTTATTAATTATTTATATTATTTCCCGGTAGCTCTGCAATAGACAATGCGTTCGACAGGAATTTCGATGGTGGCGAAACCAGTGTCTACATGCAAAACGAGTACCAGATAATCAAAGATCTAGGGAAACGGCCTGACAAGAACAGCCAGACCTTGGCTATTAGCCAGGCTTTCGCTCTCTTTGGAGAGCTTGCTTATGGTATCCCTGGTGACGCTTGCGCTTCCGCGAACGTGAGTATTCTCTCATATAATATTGCATTACTTCTTTTCCTTCTTTGTTTCTTCTTTACCAGCCTGATAGTTCACAGCAGTGAAACCCACTTGTGAAGCGTGATGATTACGACATATTCTATCTCCAGTGGAGGAGCAATATATCCAATATTGAGTATATTAATACTATATATATTCAAAATGATATACCGACATCTATCAGATGCTACGAGTTCTTACTACCTTTTCAGCCAGTTGCTTAAAAAATGGGGAGATGTATTGCCAATTGCCGCCAACACTCGGAAAATATAAAATATTTTTAAAAGTTTTGCTATAACTGGGTAAAGTTACCGTTATGCAAAGAAATAAACTGTTATTTTGGAACTGGATGATCAGGATAGCAGATTATGGGTACAGCGCAAATAAATCGCCTCGAACGGGGAAGGACTACGCTCGCACAGAATACCAACTAAAATAGCAGAGTAAGAAAAGCAGCTGTGTTTCGTATGGTGAGAGACGAGAACTGAAGACCCTTTTACTGGTTATAAATCAGAATCATTAGTAAAAAGGGTTCTCTTACTTCCCAGAGGTGACAGCACATCTACATTTTGATATTTAATCGAGAGTTAATGGGTGCGTTCGGCAGAAAAAAGCGCTAGCAAGCGCTTGTAAGCAAAATGGCGATCGTAAGCGGTAAGCGCTGTCAAATCGTAAGTAGCTATTTTCCTCCAGGACACGATGTTAGTTTTAACCGGGGAATCTAACCTAATTTAAATATATGTTTGTAAAGTATTCATATTAAAAACTTACCAATCATGAGTTTTTAATAGCATGTATATGTTTATTCATGTCATTATATTACTTAAAACTAATATTGCACAAAACAACTTATAAACTCTACTTCAAAACAAACAAATTAAATAAGCAAAATGGCGGATTGTGTCAGCGCTACTGAAGTAGCAATCGTGTCCTGGCCGAAAACTATTTTAGCGCTTATAAGCGCTTGCTAGCGCTTTTTTCTGCCAAACGCACCCAATGTCTTTGGGCCACAGTATACACTTACCTTTCAAGTGGAATGCGTGCTCGTTTGTCATCTATGTTCTACAACAAAAAAACATGCACTGGAACAGCGCGGCAAACTTATAGCTCTATAAGTGTCTCAGAAATAAGAGTCCATAGGCAGGAGAGAAGATGCAATTTCATTTTAATTTTTACATTAGGTTAATTGAAGTACCGCTAGATGAGCAGGTTGTCAACTGCAGTTTCTTATTTTGAATTCATATCAGGAAGATGCCACTAACCTTCATCTGTTTCAATTTTCTCTCTGTCGTCGTTTACGACACCATACAACGATATGGGGTAGTGGATGTTTTTACACCGCTACTACACGGTATTTTTAAATTCCCGCTAAGAAAATTGAAAATTTTCAAACATCGGAAAGTTATTATTTTAACGGCTTGACCGATTAAAATGAACTATGCGAATTTCCGAAGTGCTTTATCAAACTTAGATTTGCTATGAATTTTAACTAATTCGGACCGGTAGACGTTGAGAAATATCAAAAATAAAAATTTTGTGTTGTGAAAAATTTTTCAAAAATTAATTTTTATTAAATTACTCCCATATTTCCAACTAATTCTTTTATTGATTTAGTTCATTTCAAATCAATGCAAGGGATAATTCTTTCGTATTTGTAAATTGAGCTTCAGAAAGAAATCGGGTGAAGCTGATCCAAAATCAGCTTGAGATTTTGCACTTTTTTACTTTTCATTAATCTAGACGGTGCCCGCCCTTACTTCATTCCATTGCTGGTGGACCGTGTGCTCGTCTTTTCGTGTCGTGTCTTTTTAAGGCTTTACATCGTGCATGGTTGGCGATGTTAGTGCGGGCAAGCGATGCCTCTGACGAATAAGAACAGTGCAGTAAAATCTCATGCTTGTGGATCCAATTAGTAAATAATTAGATCCATCAAAGACCGTACCTTCATCAACCTATAATTCCATCGCTGGACATCAGCCTATCCTGTTTTAGGGATATTTTACCTTAATCCCATTCTTGGCAGAAGGATTAATCTTAGATATACTCCTAAATCTTGGTGAAGCCTATTGCATGTATGGTTCAAAGCTCTTCGTGATCGGAGACAAATGGAGGCCACAATAAAACTCATTGATATATTTTCAGCTTATCAACGCATACGTCAGCGGAAATAAGGCTGCTCTCCGCAACGCTCTAGACATCTACGTCCTAAACCTAGTCAGCAAAATCGACGCCATCGCGCAACTTGCCCGGGATCCTAACTCCCTTAAATACACTGTAAGTATTCAAATATTTTTATCTTAAAGTCAAAACATTTACTTACTTAAGAGTAGAGGATTATATTGTTTCATATTTTACGTAACAAAAACATCCCAAAAAATACCTGTGTTTCTGAATAAGGTAATTTACGAGGACTTGTAAAGTCCGCCAACAATATCTACATATATTATATGCTTTATATATCTCCCTCTATGCTACATATATATGCTCTCATACGTGGTAGAGCCACGCTGCAGCTATATTATGGTTGTAGTATGAATAGGTCGGCTCGACTGAGGAAGGACAACGTTCTCACAGAATACCGGCCTACAATAGCAATTTAATACTGCTGTGTTTCGTATGGTGAGTGTATGGATCCGGAGACCCTTTTTACTGGAAACTTCCATGCATTCCATCTTAGTCCTTAGGGGTGACAACGTATCTGCGTTTTTATTATTAGTCGAAGATAAATGTAGATATCTGTGGGCCACAGCATCCATTTACCATCAGGTGGACTGTGTGCTCGTTTGTCACCCTTATTCTATAAACAAAGCTGTATTATGGTTGTAGCACGGTGGGTAAGTTCGACCAAGGAGGGACCAGGGAGGGCCCACCCCCTTAACATGGTAGCAGAATTAAGTGAAGAACTACCCCAGGAGGGTACCAGCACACCTGGTGACGGTGAATCCCTCGATGAGCATCCAGGACAAAGTTATTCTACTCTTCCTGAGCGTGGGTGCTCAAGCTGTCCCGAGTATTCTGGGGTGAAGGGGAGGGGGGGGCAATTCCGCTAGCAACAAAAACTTCTCAAGCAAACGAGCAACAACACAACACTCGTGGCAACTCCTGCCACGCTATCCGTGATTTTTGCAACATCAGGGGACTTCATTAAACCAACTTTAACGCTGTTGTCCATTACCATCTGGAGATGGTGAAGCCGGACTTGCTCTTTTTAACCGAGACTCAGGTGTCCTCTTTTGCTAATACTTCATATCTCTCCTACCCGGGGTACAAATTAGAACATTCCTTTGTGCCTCGGGCTGGAGTTTTCATATACGTCAGAGAGGACATCTGTTTTTGACGCCTAGGCAGTCTTGAAGGTATGGACCAGTCCATCCTATGGCTGCGCGTATATAGCGACGAACATCCCCGCGTCTACGGTTGCCTCTATAGGTCCCATAGCGGTAATACCGAAACAAACCGATTCCTTGACCACTTCCAAATGGCTACGGATTCCGTGCTACAGCAGATCCCATCCACAGAGATGGTGGTCCTTGGCGATTTTAATGCCCACTACGCCGAATGGCTCGGTTCACGTTTAACCGATCATGTGGGGAGATCTGTTTATGACTTTGCTTTGGCATATGTCTGACACAACTGGTTACTGCGCCTACATGGATTCCAGATGTGGAAGATCATACATCTTCCCTGTTGGACCTTCTGACTTTTATCCGGACGGATATCAGGTTTCTGGTGACGCCCGTTTAGGCTCCTTGGACCATTGTCTTGTGCGGAGTGTGGTGCCAGTCACATTAACGTCGCGGTTGCATTCTGCACGCTGCCGCCGTGTTTGGCACTATAGGTCGGCCAATTGAGATAGGATGCGGTCTTTTGTTGTATCCTACCCTTGGGGGCGGGTTTGCTTCTCACCGGACGATCCTAGCGTTGTTGCTGATTCTGTCGCTGATGTGGTACTTCAGGGTATGGATCTTTTTATTCCTTCCTCTGTGGTGCCCATCGGAGGCAAATCTCAGCCATGGTTTGGTCGCTCCTGTAAAATACTATAAACAGGAGTGCTACTGGGCCTGGGCTGACGCATCAACATCCCGGTATGTAAACACTAGCGCTCTAAAAAAGAAGTATAATTCCGCCTCCAGGTCCTTCAAAAGAGTCATTGCCAAGTCAAGGTCTGAGCACATCGGCAGTATTGGCGAGAAGCTAGTTCGCCTTCCTTCAGGAATGCGCCAGAGATGCGCAAAAGATCAGAATACACGGGCATTCTGATCTCTCGCCAAGGCTGTCCAATTACAGTACAGTTTGTATGTGGTAGAGCAACGCTGAAGCTATATTACGGTTGTAGCACAAATGGGTCGGCTCCGCCGTGGAAAGACTACGCTCTCAGAGAATATCAGCGTAAAATAGCAGCTTAATACTGCTGTGTTTTGTTTGGTATCACCTAGTTCAATTCAATGCCCAGAAGACACAAGTATGCGAATTAACCGCTAAAAACAACCCCTTTGTCGTATCTCCTCAGTTTGAAGGCACTCCCCTTGCTGCCTCAGCTTGCATCAGAATCTTCGGCATCAACATATCGAATAGTGTGCAGTTTCGTGATCACTTGGAGGGGAAGCCTAAATTGGCCTCTAAAAAGCTTGGCGTGCTCAGCAGAGCAAGACAGTATTCCATGCCGGCACATTGCTTGCAACTTTACGAAGCGCAAGTTGGGCCTCAAATGGAATACTGTTCTCGTCTCTGGGCCGCGACACCCCAGTGCCAGTTCCTTCCACTTCATCGCATCCAGCGCAGAGCGATTAAAATCGTCGACGACCGAGTTCTTTCTGATCGGCTCGATTCACTGGCGCTGCGTAGGAATGTTGCATCCTTTGCGTTTTCTATCGTATCTACCATGAGGAGTGTTCTGAGGAATTGTTCAGATTAGTTCCAGCCGCCAAATTTCACGAAAGCACATCGTCAAGCGTCAAAATTCCCGATGCCATCCTCGCCATCTGGATGCTTGGCGGCCCACTGCTGTACGTATTGCTAAGAGTTTTATTTCTCATACATTTATTCTGTGGAATTGTTTGCCACCGGCGACTTTTCCGTACCGATACGACTTAGGGACCTTAAAGGAAAGAGCTTACTCCTTTCTAAAAGGCCGGCAATGCATCTTCAATTCCCCTGGTTTTGCGGTTGTTCATGGGCGACGGTAGTCACTTACCATTAGGTGACCCGCATGCTCATTTGCACCCTCTTCTATAAAAAAAGACTCGTTGTGGATGCATTGGTTTCTACACGATGACGTGTGAATTTTCTGAGCTCCAGATATGACAATTTTGCTTATTGACGTTTCGGTGGAAATGAGTTTCATTTGAATAGATGATTTTTCAGTAAAAATGCTCATCTTCGATCAAGTGGTCTTTGGCCGATTCAGCAAACTGAAAACGCATCGGATGGTCACACGGCTTCAGCTACTACACATTGTATGAACTTTGTACGCATTTATATCAAGATCTTCATGCAAAAGTCTTCTCAAAGAAGTGCGTGAAATTTTCAATTCTTGAAAACGATGATGAGTTGATGTTGATGGCTGTTGACTTCAACTTTACTACTACTATACTTCAATGGTTCACGCACGTTGAATTTTTCGTCTCTTTTGTTTAATTTTTCAAAATTTTTATTTTGTTTAATTTTTATTTACATTTTCTTACAGTTTGAATAGGTGACTCACCAATTTGGAAATAAGTTTTTAAAATTTCCCAACTTTGTCCAAGCAAAAAGCAACCCATTTCATAAAGGTCAAACATAAAACTAACTTTCTGTCACATCGGAAATGTCATCAAACTTTCCTACTTCATAATAACCTTTAGTTTCAATTCCTAACGTTAGGTGGCCCATCCTGGATAATAGCTGTGCCAGACGTCTCACTCTTCCAAAACTACTGCCCGTCTCTTGGCATTTTACCAAATTATCCTGGCATTTCTTACTTCAGTTCCCCCCTGCGACAACCACAGGATGAAATGGAGTGATAGATTTTCTTATGTTATCACCACACGGCGATTAATAACGATTAGTTCAACGCTTACTTCAACGTTTAGTTAAATAAAAAGAACTTAATTTTTCCGTTAGTAACAATAACGACTATAGTGATGCCCTATCATTAATCTTGTTGCATGGAAAAGTGGATAAAATCATTAATATCAATAACAATGTAAATCCTAGTTTAGTGGCGCGCGGCGAATCGGTTTGAAAGATAAATGAACCGAGAGCTTATATGAGACCCGTTTAGAGTGGCGTTTCATATTAATGTATTGCATAGTAGTAAAGTCGTCGCCTAGAAGCTGAACGATTAATTTTCATTGTATTCAAACCCAAATCACAATTTTAAGTAATGTTTGCTACGTGCTCAACGGTGAAGGAAAACGCTGCGCCGTGAAGAAATTTAACAAAAATTGCAGGTGTATATTTTTTATAATACTATAGTGACACTGCATTCCATGGACGTCTGGAACTGACTTCAAACAAAGAATGCTTCACAGCCTGTAGTTGTAGTAGATCTCAATACACTACCAGAACACAGGTAGGAGCGAGGTACCTACATGGATGGACTCGTAAGCAGATAAGGGTCCTTTCACCAAACATTTAGAAATTTGACTAAAAAAAATATTTTTGAGAAATAAGCCAGGCTTGGGCCGAAAAACGAAATGTTGGCAAAACTGGCAAACCTGGCAAACTGTCGGACAAACAAATTAACCTGCTTTAACCACCTGCGGACTAGTCTTGATAGTTGTCATTCAGTTTCGAGAAAAAGCTTTCTTCCGAATTACTTTCGTGTTAATTAAACAAAAAATATTATTAATGTTACGTGGTAGAGCCATGCTGCAGTTATATTAGTAGTATAGTTGTAGCACGAATGGGTCGGCTCGACCGGGGAAGGACCACGCTCTCACAGAGTACCAGCGTCAAATAGTAGCTTAATGCTGCTGTGTTTCGCATGGTGAGTGAGAGAACGGAGAGCTTTAAGAGTTGATTTTGATGAATCGAGGATAGATGTAGATGTCTATGGGATACAGCAACCACTTACCGTCAGGTGGTCTGTGTGCTCGTTTGTCACCCCATCCTATAAAAAAAATAATTCTCACAATTATGGATTAACAAGAATATGCTTTTTATAATTTGGATTACAGTTTGATACCGTCTGATCTAAGCCTGTAATAGACTGAGGCTGAAGCCTGCGTTACGAATCACCTAGATCTTTTGACTACAGCAATACAAAAACTTCAGTAACAGACTTGAGTAAATATGTAAAAAAATAAAGTTACAGCCTATATACGTCCCACTGCTGGGCACAGGCCTCCGCTCATTTCTGAGAGGGTTTTAGGGCAAGGAATTGTCCGCCGCGCTGCCCCAATGCGTGTTGGCGAACTTCACATGTCTTCGAAATATATTTTTTATTTATTTCTCTGACATGCAAATGTGTAAATGCTCTGTAAATCAGCACTTAAAATTGCCGTTAACAATTTCATTGATGCCGGCGGGGATCGAATCCGGTTTGCTCGCGTACTGTGAAATTTACAGCGAGCGCTAACCATCTGAGCTACCACGGCTCGAGTAAATATGACTTAGAGTAATTTTAGTAATTTTTAAGAGTCGAGCATGTATATTTTCGAAGTGAATGAGGTTCGGGTGACAGTATCACATCAATCAAATTTATGTTTTATTGTAAATAAGTTATAATTACATATAATTGCTTATTCCTTTAGACCGGCATACGTGGTAACTGCGCCGGAGGTGGCAGAATTTACCGATTCGAGGCTGCTTGGGACGCAATCCGATCCAGTGTTAGTCCCCTTCAAGCTGAGTACGTTAACATTAATGTATACTATGTATAATTCAAGTGCGCCAAAACTAAGGTACGTGAGGGTAATATGTTCAGCAAACTAAAACTGGAAGGTCAGAGATAAAAACACAGTCATATACTATAACTTATTTATTAATAAAAATAAACTTAATAAAAACGAACTACCGTACACTCAACTAAAATCGACTAAAATATTTACTGTAAAGTCAACTGTCAAAATGGCGTCGATAAAGCAGCGCCCTTTTTATACTTTACTATTTGATTGACCGATGAAGAGCTATCGTATCACATACATAAGCAAGCTGTAATTTTTGAGTTATAAGAAAGTGACCATATTAACTGACCGAACGTATTATCCTCACGTACTATGGTACAATAACTGTTAATTATAATTTAAAAAAATCACCCAGAAAAGGAATATGGTTGATTTAAAAGACGTGGTAGAGCCATGCTGCAGCTACGTTACTGGTATAGTTGTAGCACGAATGAGTCGGCTCGACCAGGGAAGGACCACGCTCTCATTGAATATCAGCGTAAAATAGCAGCTTAACGCTGCTGTGTTTTGTTTGGTGAATGCAGAAAACCGGAGACCCTTTTTACTGGAAATGAGGCAATCCATCCTAGTCCTCACGGGTGACAACGCATCTGCATTTTGATTCGTAATAGAGAATAGATGTAGATGCCTGTGGGCCGCAGTAATCACTTACCATCAAATGGGCTGTGTGCTCGTTTGTCACCCTAATCCTATAAAAAAAAGAATAGAGTAGAATGATTCACGTGGTAGAACTGGCTGTTGCGTAAATTGTTCATTCTGCCGGAAGGACCGCGCTCTTACAGAAAACCATCTTAAAATAGCAGATTAATGCTGCTGTGTTTCATATTTCGAGCATATAGAACCCACGACCTTTTTTAGTGCCGAGGCATTCCATCTTAGACCTCAGGAGTGACCACAAATCTGCATTTTGATTCTTATGGATAGATGAAGAAAATTATACAAACCACAGCATTCACTTACCATAAAATGGACTGTGTACTCGCGTGCACCCTTAATCCATAAAAAGTGAACTCTCCTGTCAGAGAGCCGGTGTCTCAGCCCCTTGGGTCACATAGTATTACCTAACCTTATATAACCCTAACTCATAATAAATAATATCTTTTCAGTTTGATCAATGAGGAGTACTGTGCAACTAAAAGGCTGTACAACGCGTTCTACGTTCAAAACAACAACATTGGAGCGGCTATAACAGCTTCCTCTCTGCCCCCAACTCTCAAAGTCACCAAATTCGCCAGCGACGCTCTGCATAACGTAAGTTTATTAATAGTAGAAAGTTGATATTGAACTACATAGATTTGATTCTAGAATAAGGGAAAAATTCCCTTACTCTAGAAGTAGATCTGTGTAGTTAACTTACCTTGTGTACTACCTTGTGTTCTCTTAGCAGGAGAACAGTCAGACTTCTTCTTTAATAGAAATAATAGAATTTCATATCATCCCGTGAGGTGTCCTAATAGACGACAGGGGGAAACTGATACAGGAGATGAGCAGTAGCATCTTCATAAAAACAACTTAAACTTACAAAAACCTGCGATTGCTAATCCACCTTCTAAGTGCTATGAGGTACAGCCTATTGAAGTCCACTTCTGGACATAGGCCGCCCCCGTAGACTGCCGCAAAGGCGGGATTGCCATAGTCTCCACGTTCGGCAAGCGTCAAACGAAAAGGCGACGCTAAAAAGAGACAAACATATACATTTATAGGATTTAGCTTGCGAGAGAATGAGATAGAATACGGTATACAATGTATATTATAAATTTGTTAATATTTTAATTGCATAAAACCCACAATTATTTACTCCTGAATCCTATTCGCCTAATTCTCTCAAAGTTTAGTTTTCTGAAGGTTCCACTTCTACTGTGAACTGTTTTTTTTTTAAATTTAGTCCTTTTTAGTAAGACACAGCTATCAGTCCATACATGATCCTGTTTCTTTCCCTCCGTCGCCTCTCAAAACACGCACGGGACGATATGGGGTGATGGATATTTTTACGGCGTCACGACACGGTAAATTTTTACAGAGTTCATCAAGTGGTTACACCTAAATTATATGATGTTCTCTTTCCAGCTCCTGAGGGCCATCGCTTACAAGGGAAATGTTAGAGCTGCTGCAGCTGTTGCGAAGGCCCAGCTCCTGCAAGCTGCCTCCAATATCAAACTTTAAGAATCAGCCATATGAACTTGGCACTAATAAACATATTATAGAAATATCTTGTCTGTATATATAAATAAGCACATTCGGAAATCTCTAGTTTCGTATTGGTATCCGTTTTTAATATGCACTTCATATATTTATGTATATAAACACTCGTATGCCTTTCGCGATGTACGTGAACGAGTCTGAATAATAAATGACTTATTATTATTTATTTAATATATAATATAATCTCTACCTACCCCACTGGGTAACAGGTGTGAGTTTGTAATATGCATAATGTATTTGTTATACGTGTAAATATATGTTTTCTTGATCAAACACACACGACTTGGATTTTCATTTCTGATTCGATTTTGATATTAATAAAAAATAAAGATGTATCCAGATGTTTACTTAATTGTGTTTTATTTTGCTTGTTTTTCGCTGCTGCTTAAAGTAACTTGTTTAGTGAGCTTACCTTTTGAGCGCAGAAGACATTGTTCAGAATTGACGTAACATAACATCACTCAAGCAAACTTTTTTCATAGAATAGGAGCGAAACGACCACAGAGCCTAGACAGTCTACGAGGTGTTAAGTAGATACTGTGGTGTGTACGTGTGATGAACGCAAATGTTTCTACATATACATCTATCCTTAGAGGAAATTATGCTGCAGCTGTGTAGTCACCCCCGAATATTTCAATGAAATGCATCGTTTCCCGTAAAAATAACCTCCGGTTCTCTACGCCCACCGTACGAAACACAGCAGCATAAAGTCGCCATTTTACGCAGTTAGTCTGTGAGAGCGTGTCCTTTCCCGGTCGAGTCGACTCATTCCTGCTGCAACCTAATATAGCTGCAACCGAACCGATAGTATGAAGGGTTCTCGAGAAGAGGCTCGCGTCAGTGGCGGTGTAACACGGCCTCCTTCTTAATGTAGTAACGTCCTGATTAGGCGTGCAAGAATTCAATGCAAGTAACAAGGAGAAACTAATCGAATTTTGACTTGTGATAGCATTGACTTATATATTAATAGCGTAAGGACCGGGCCGACCGAACAACTAAAACGGACCAGTGCGCTGGCCCTAAAATTACAGTTTAGGGCCAACGCGAATAGGTTGACAGTAGTGTGCGCGCAGGACTCGTCGTCTGATTTGTCTGTCATAAATATGTAAATAAACTGCGTGGTAAAGGAATGCAAAAATTACCTACGATACGAAGATTAAAAAGGAACATGGGATATCGCATCATCGGTTAATAACCCTGTATTAATTTTGTTACAATTAAATTATTATATGAACGCATTTTTAAAGTTTTATTTTACAGTTAGTTTAGTTACGTTACCAATATTAATGCCAGGGTTGGTTTCAGACCCACAAAAATATGTACATGGAAAATAAAATCATACTATTTAAAAAAAATTATATCACGTTTGACGTTTCATGTTTCTTTTTTCCTCTGTGGCTGGTTTTGGCGTCACGCGTCTAGTTTATCTTTCGTTTTTGACGGTTTTTACGTTTCGTTTTTGACGGTTTTATTTTTAATTCTGTTTTATTTTTGTCTAAAAAACTTAGGATAAGTTTAATTTTGAATATTGGTACCTAATATATTTTATATTCAATAAGGGTAAAACGAAAAGAGTATAATATAACCATATCTGCTTAATTGAATCCGAAAATCTGATTCATAAAATATTTTGAAATTCTGTTTTCAAACCGATTGCTTCTGGAGCATAGAGTTTTAATCGTGGTAGCCCCTCATTATAGTTGTGTCAGGGATGCAACATAAATACATCGAACGAGTACCGATTGACCAGAAAGTAAGCTAATTCTAATTTTATTTAAAAAACGCGGTACTCAAGTACAATTCAGAAATTCTCCATATCGTAGGGTTAATATTAAAAAGTAAAAGGACCCAATAATAATACAAGTCGATCTTTAGGTAAAATGATGGTATTTGCGCATAGTGTTATTACGATACTATATACTACAAACTATGAAATAATGGTACAGTTAGGATAAATATACTACGAAATCCGACCCTGGATACGTCGTGTTATGATATGACGTTTGTATTATGACAGATGCGCTACTTTTTCGTGTATGAAAAAGTTATGAGTAAAATATTTAAATGGGCCTATCCTTCCTTTTGAAATCATTGTGTGATAGGGTGTAATGATGGTGACAATTTTACTAACATTAACATCCTGTCTTACTCATAAAACTCGAAGTCAATATAAGAGACGCTTATATTTACTCTCTCGCTCTTTTCAATAAATGACAATACCAAAATAACAAGAGACAATAAAAAGAGTTTAGAGATAAATTATACTTTATTTAAGTTAAAGTTAATCAACGATTAGTATAATGAGATGCGTTCTGTGTTTAGTGATGATAATGTCATTGGCTGACACAACTAAATATTTTTAAAACTGAACTGATAAATGAACTGGCAGTCCACCCAATAGAAAGTGGCTACTGTAGCTCACGGACACCTGCAGCTAACTTCAAAGTAACTAAGGCTACAAATACGTTGTTACCTCTGAGTACGACCTCTTATAGCCACAGTTTGTTATTGTACAGGCTGTACGTACCATTCAAATCGGAACGCAGCAGTATGAGAACTCCTGTTTGCCGGTACAACAAACAGGTACGAGAGTAGTAACTATCTACAAGAACTCTAATTCAAAAAAGGAGTTCTACCACCCAGTAAATGTAACAAATAGGTTGTCGACATAATAAAATATAACAAAGTAACGTTAGAGCTTTTTTACGTCTCTCTATTGGACACAGAGCTCCCCTCGTTTCTAAAATGGTCATGGAGTAATGAGGGCTAATAAATTATACGCTCAACAGATGTCGCTAGTGGTAACTAAGGTCACAGTATATAAATATGTAACTTTGCTAAGGTGAACTTATTTATTCCCCAGATTGTCACACAATGTCATCATCATTGAAAAGTCGTGGCTTAATTGGAAGTTTTACAGTTACATGTACACAATGTCTCAGGGCTGTATTCTTTAAATTTTTATGCATATTTACCTTTCTAATTCTTTTACATTTATGAATATAGTCCGTGAGGGTAATATGGTCATCCGGTTAATATGTTCACTTTCTTATAACTCTAAAACTACAGCCATATTTACATAGATGGCTTTGTGATGCGATAGCTCTTCATCGGCCAATCAAATAATAAATGGTCAAAAGGGCGCTGCTTTATCGACGCTATTTTGATAATATAGTAAATATTTTAGTTAATTTTAGTATGGTGTAGTGTAGATACTTCTTTTTAAGTTGATTTTTCGAAGTGTTCATAATAATTGTCAAAGCTCGTTTGCTATGCTTTTCTTAATATATTAGTTACAGTATACGATTTTGTGTTTTTGTGTCTGACCACCTCCTAGTTTTGGTTTTATATGGCGGCAAAGCTTAAGGTAACCATATTACCCTCATGTATCTTATCCGTTCGTTTATCTATTCCTAATATAATACATTTGTAGTAGTGCGACTACTGATCATGAGGTCCTGGTTTCGAATCCGGATCGGGCCAAAAAATCAATTATTGAATTTTTTTGTCAAGAAATTTTCAGTAGCTGCCCGGAGTTAGGAAGTTGGCGGTGTCTCACCCCCGTGCCTCGGAAAGCACGTAAAGCCGTTGGTCCTGCACCTGATCTCTCTCCAGTCGTGTCGGTTTACCGTCCCATCGGATTATGAGAATGAGGGAATAGAGAGTGCACTTGTGCTTGCGCATACGCGTGAGCACTATAATCCTGTCCTGCGCTGATGGCCAGCCGCTGTTAAGACAGGCCGCCGTGGCCATAATTCGGTCTGGAGGACATTATTATTATTATATATAAAATACAACTTCTATTTAAAAAAGAAACATTAGTCTCTACACTTTTCCAACAAACTAACTTCCCCTGCTATGAAATCTGTAAAATATTTCACCTCGTTTCTAGGTGGTGCCGCCCTGGTGGCAGAAAAAGTTGTGGTTGCCTTCACTAGACCGTCATGCTGCTACAGTTCGTGTTGGCGAGCTACAAATATCCTCGAAATATTTTTAGTCTTCAGACAGAGTTCCCCACGACGTTTTTTTTATAGAATAAAGGTGACAAACGAGCACACAGTCTACCGGATGGTAAGTGGATACTGCCCGTAGATGTCTTCATTTATCCTCGATTAAGAATCAAAACGCAGACGCGTTGTCACCCCTGAGGACTAACATGGAATGCCTTTTTTCAATAAAAAGGATCAAAGGATCTCCGGATCTCTACACTCGCCATACGAAACACAGCAGTATTAAGCTGCTATTTTACGCTGGTTTCTGTGGGCTCTCACCCATTCGTGCTACAACCATAATATAGCTGCAGCGTTGCTCTACCGCGTATAAAATGGTAAATCAACACTTAAAATATATATATATATATATATATATATATATATATATATATATATATATATATATATATATATATATATTCAATTAACAATTTCATTGATACTAGCTGGGACTAAATCCAGGTGTCCCGTGTACTGTGAAATTTAGTGTGCGAGTGCTTAACCTCTGAGCTACCACAGCCTTTCAGATATTAATACTGACGGCTTTGTGGCGCAGTGGCTTAACAATGAGTTGCAGCGTTGAGGGCCGCGGGTTCGAAACCCGCACGGAACAAGTATTTGCATGGCCTTCAAATAATTGTTCAGGGTCTGTATTTTTGTCCTTGTGAATTTTATGTATATAAATTACATCCACGATACAGAAAAATTCCTAGTAGCTAAAGTTTTTCAAAACAATGAATGTACGATAGAGTTTTTTGCCTGTTCTTTTCTGTAGTGTTCTCTATTTTAGACTCATTTAAGACTACTAAAAGTGATAGTACTCCAAAAAATGTGAATACTGATTCGCTGTAGCTGGTTAATTAAATTGACTTAATAACTATCTCTTATTTATTTTAATTAAACAGAATCCTTTCATGCTTCCATGCTTCTTAAATCCTGTTAACCATTCTAACTAAACCCTAAACACCA